ACGTAAGTCATCATCCAATAGACACAAGGGTTTATTAACAGTTGTCTACACAAGATACTAAGGATCAGTTGGCCAGGTACCAACGACAACAACCTACTGTGGGAGCGACAAATCAGATCCCATCAGACGAAGAAATCAGGAAGAAGCTATGGAGGTAGACAGGACACACGTTCTGGAAATCACCCAACTGTGTCACAAAACAAACCTTCACTTGGAATTCTCAAGGGTAAATGAGAAGAGGAAGTCCAAAGAACGCATTACGCCGAGAAATGGAGACAGACATGAAAAGAATGAACAATAGTTGGACAGAACTAGAAGGTCCTAGACAGAGTTGGTTGGAGAATGATGGTCGATTGCCTATGCTCAGCTAAGGGTAACAGGCGTAAGTAAGTATGCAATGTAACTGTGAAAACAGTGTAAACCCCAGTAAACATTTTCGCTTAACGTAAATTATATACACATACAGATAGATGTAAGAGAAGTTGTTTTGAATAACTATATATTTCATTGATGTAAAAAAGTAAAGAATCCATTTGTCGGTGATGTTAAAAGAAATTTTTGTTATTAAAACTGCTATTAAATTGAAAAAAACAGTCCCAGTGACTCATAATGAAGAATGATAAAAATGTCTAGATAAAGATGTAACACAATGTATGTCATATCTTCACAAGACTACTTAACTCGCTATAATTAATAATACTTCTGATAATAATATTGATCCATTCAAGACGAACTTCCCATAGTTGTAATTGAAGTATTTGTACTGTAGATTCGCTCATGTAGGTTGGATTAAATAGTTGTCTCATACCAGGGAGAATTGGTTTGTCTAGGACACTTGAGTTATTTAGTTCCAGTTCAGTTACTTATTTCTTTTGTGACTGACAAAAGACCTAACAGCTTCAGGTTCAATAGTATTCAAGGTCATGGATATGCCCTTCGAAACAGTAACATAGGAGGACGAAAAAACTGTACATTAGGCTATTGTTTCTGATGGTATTTTGACCAATATCCAGTTATGTTAAAGCAATTTCAACTGACATGTTCCCCATAAATTTAGAAACAACAGGAATTTAACGGATCATATAAGTATGTTAAGTGTTCAGTGGTTTGATGATAGTTATCTATGTTAGGTAAATAAACATATATTATAATGAAAGCTGGAAATTTGAATCTGAATGCAAAAATGTGAAATTCGAGGTAGAAAAACAGCGATTTTCGTGCACTTTATTCAATTGAAATCTAAATAAAAACATAAATACATCGTTGAATACATGAAAAGCTTTTTCTAGACCCAAATATATTTGATTCATCTATCAAATAAAGAATGAAAATGTCAAAATTTATGTATGTTATTTTGCTAGCAATTTAACTAAGACTGTAATATAATTCTTTCGTCTAACACTTAATTATCAAGAATTCTTATCATTCGAAAGTGGTTAAACTTCTGAAACACATAAGAATCAATTTTTTTTCCTTTCATTTTGGTTTTAGTTGTAATCTAATTTGCTGTTATCTAGTGAGCAGTTTGACATCGATTTGGCGAAGTTAGGCCCTTTTAATAATTTTTTTTCACAATTATTACTTTTCCCTTTGGCAGTTTGGAGATTGTTGAGTTTCTAATGGTGGTCTAACATTGATTGATTCATGATTTCAAATTATCACTTTGTTTACTTCGATTCGCATTCAACTGATTTTTAATAATTTTCATGCTAAATGCCTTGAAAACTGTAAATGTGACCAGAGTTTTCGAGATTTATAATGCTAAAACATCACATTTTTCAGATCACCTTCATTCTCTCATTGACCTCAGTTTAGATGCCACGTTTAATAAACCTTAGAATCAATAAACCTAGCAGTATTTCTCATGAATTTTTGTGCAGTTAAGATATTTTAGCTAACTTCAATTTGTCTACTCGTTAAGAAAAGACACTATTCTGATAATTCTTCGTAACGATGCCCTTGCTGAAGAGTGACCATAGATTATCTATAGATTCGTACCAATTTTCATTTAAAGTTGGTATTACTTAGAAACTGACTGTTAGGATGTTCATCCAATATCCTAAGAGAATTATTGATCAATTCCTATTGGTTAATTCTTACTGGTCAATTTTATGGTCATCCTAGATATCAGTGTCGCGTGCTCCAATGTTGTTACTTATTGGTTGTCCTGACTATCAATGCCACTCCAAATGTTGGTTCTTATCGGTCGTCTTAACTGCCAATGTCACAGACTTCGATGCTGTTTCCTATTCGACCAAAATGTATAAATACGCATTATGTGTAACGTTTTATGACCAGGACCAGGACCCGGTCCCGGATCCCTAGTCCGGGATCCTGATTCTCTTCTGGACTCGGACCTCGTACTTTCTGGATGCTTGTAGAATACAGGTTCTACTTCATATCAAGTCTTCTTATTTTACTCAATTTGTGGGTTGGGGTAATCGGATGTGAGTTGCATATCGTGTCGCCGGATCCTCGATCCTCGCTCTCGTTTTCCGACTAGGTAAACTCGTAATAGTACATGCATATCAAAATGACCTGTTTACGTGCAGGAGTAACACTGACTGAATTTCAGAGAACAGTGGACGAATGTTTTATTTTCCAGCAATGCAATCCTCACATCTATGTACCTGTAACCCATCCTTATATCAGTTGGGGTCTATTTCAAATTAGACTGTGATGTCCTTCAACTTCAGATCAATCAACCACTGCGAATATATCTTCCTGGTACCTGTACTTTCGTCATAGTACTGATACTTCACTCGTCCTATTTGTCACTTATTGACATCACGTGAATAATTTTAATAATAAGGATCAAATCATCTCAAAGAAATACCGAACTAAGTTTTCACTAGCTTTTTTTCACCATGCGCACTTTCAACCATTTAACGTTCATTGTACTTTGTTCATTTTCTGCATTTTATTACGTAAAATATATGATTTCATTGAAAACAGAGAGGATTGAACAATATATTTGCATGTTGACAGTTAAGTAATTGAACCAAATAATCACTTTTCGACAGCCATTTATAATAATTTGTAAGCATTATTTTATTAAAAAGATATAAAACTTGATGAATTTTTAAATTCATAATGATTATATGTTGACATTAGTTAATTCGGTAAGATTTAGAAACCCCACTTTCCCGAATTGTGTTTGCAAGTGATCAAACCTTTCAACTTTATTTCACTCAGAATTCAATTGTAAACTGCGTTATTTTATTTGTAAAGCTTAAGATAATAATAATAATAATTGATATACTGTTTCAAGTTAAATTGATCAATCACTAAATAGGATAGTGATTTAAATCGAATATTAGATAGTAGTATAAACTTTTTCACGCTTCAGTAAATGGAAGTTCACTTATGTTAAAAACTAATTCATTGACAATCATATTTAACTGTATTACATTACATGTCATGACTTGATTAAAATTTTATCACTTTGAATACTATAAAAATTTTCGAAAATATCAGGTTAAGAGGTCAATGTTCACCAGGTAATGAATTGCATTATTTAACAAATAAAAAAATCTTAATCAAATAATGAATTTTTGTTCATTAAAATTCTATTGTAATTATTTTCTATTCGAATGTTTTATCAATCATCTTTCTAATAATAATGATTAATTTGTGAACTGAAACTTAACAAAATAATCTGACTTGTTTTTATCAAAAAAAATAAACATTTCACACAATAGTTACATTAAATTAACTGAGTGCAAATATGCCAGTGGCATATTATTAAATGATATCACGATAAATTTATTTCATTCACAAACTTTCGACAGTACTGCAACATAGAATAATTACTGTGTCCTGCAAATCATTTATTGATTTCAAAATGATTTACCAATAAGATGCATGCATTCTGAATAATGTTGTTTTTTTTTAAAAAAAAATAAGTGAATATTATTGTAGGAACTTGACATTTTGTAATATAAGATGGGGAATATTTATATGATTTTGTTCAGTGTAAAGTTATCTGGGTTTTTTAATTTAGGCGCATTTTTTAATTTTTCTGCTGACGTGTAACATACTTATTCACATAATTAAATTTCCTTTCAAATGATTTTTCAGTTGACAAGTTTTCATGGTTAAATGGCACTTAGTGGCCCAGAATCTTACTTTAATTTGTCTGAACAATTGAAGAGATTAGTTGATCTGTCACAAAAGCTAGAACAGGCCACATAGACTTGATATTTGGGTATGCACTAAAGGCAATAGTGATTACTAATAATCTGAATAGTAACAGGTAGGCTTGATGATCGATTCAGTCTAATCCATAAGGTATATAATTAGAAAATATGAATCAATCGATTACTTTGATAATGATAGGTAATGAGAATAATATGACTGACTTCTAGTGGTATACAGAATATTTTTTATAGTTCGTTTGGTCTGTTGAACTGAATAATCTCAGAAATAAATTTAAATCACAAAACATTGGGTTCATATCTCAATATAATCCCAATAATACTGGAGGATTTATGGAAGCGTAACATTCAGATCAGTAAGTAATGAACAGTCATATTGAAATAGACACAATGTATCAAATTATTCAAAAAATATCGGTCAGTAATTTGATCAGAGATCAGCAAAACAAGAAAGCCAAAGTGAATATAAGATTAAATGGAGCGTACTGGAACGAACGATCATTAAGATGAACTACAAGACAAAATAAATAATACTCGCGAAATGACAAAGAAGCTTATTTCCAAATTAGGTCAACGATTGCGATGATGTTCAGAACAAACATATAGACTTGGTAACTGAACCATTTTGTTTATAAAACCCGAAATCACGAAAAACATCCACCTAAACTTTGAATATTTCCCACTATTTCAAAATGTTTTTCGTTTTAGTTTAAAAATTTACCTACTAAGCCAGTCAATATTCAACGCGAATTAAGTTTAAAAGAACAACGATGAAATATCAAGAATTTCATATGATGGTCAGTCTGAAATTAAGATATATCGTAAACTCGATTCAACACCATCACAAATCATTGAAATTCGAACATTTTTTTCATAGGTCATCTACTTTAGAAAGTGATCTAAGTTGAAGTACAGTCAAAAGCCAAGAAGGATTGAACACTTTTAGCATCTTAATATGAGATGCTCCATCAATGTACACTCATTGTAGGATAAAATTCCATTCACTATGGATTATTTGTTGTATCTTAGTGATTCTACAAATCATGTTTACCAGCCTACAAAAAAGTTTCATGTTGTATACTTCACTTCAAAGCAAACTGAGTCGTTTTTGAAATTAAAGAAAAATTAATGTGTTAAAATCGCTTTTCAGAAAAAAAGGTAATGTAAATAGCAGTTTATTCATTATGTTAGTATTTTTCTTTTTTTAAATGAAAAAAGCACTACAAATTATTATTTAATAATTCAAAATCATGTATCAAAGCCAATTGCTATTGTGAATTGTAGCAAAAATAAATAAATAGAAAAAATATTCAATGAAAATAATCACATCACATCAAGACATGGTTATGAATATTCAAAAGTATCAAAATAATAATAATAATAATAATAATAATAATAATAGTAATAGTAGTAATTGGTTAAATCAAACAATAAAATCAAATATAACAATCAACAGAGTATTTTTAAAACAATACAATAATTGATAGATCATAGTGTTTTTTTTTATAGAAAAAATAATCAAATCAGTCAATAATTAATAAGTTATGATAACAGAAGAAAGAGTAGTTTTCTATTTGACCTATAAATTGATTTGAGATAGCGAGTGTGTTCACAGGCATTTGAACCTACTTTGATCAAATCGGAATTTCGTAGCATCACAATTGAATTTGCTTTTTCAATTGATTGGATGAAAAGGAAAAGAAAACATTCGTTATATTAATAAAAATATACAAGCACATACTATCATCAAAGCTAATAAACAAATTTATTTTAATGTTATATTTCTTAATTCATAAGTTTGTAAATAATTGACATCTATTAACAAATTATGAATACTGAAAATGGGTAACAATCTAGTAGTAGTAGAATTTTGTGTGAAATCGATTTGTAGTGGATATGGTCGAAAGAATTAGCCATTTTGGAAGATGATAATATTTTTGTTAGTTTTTAAAAGTTGAAAAAATAACAGGTAATATATTTATGATTAACTCCTCCTAGACCCCTTCAGATGGTCCTCAGCCCATAGAAAGAAGGAGGATTAGGTAAGGGGCTGGCAACCTCATCCCGCAGAAAACCAACTCGTCAAAAAAACGCTAACCAGAAAAAGATGGTCGGTGGCCTATGCTCCATGAGGGGTATAAGTAAGTGAGTAATTCAATAAATAGAAATATTTTCACATATTCTCAATTGTGTAAAAAAAAATTTAATATAAATTGTTTTCAAGGTCAGACTAGTGAACTAAATGGCTGGTTCATCAGTTAATATTCAAATGTACAAGTTATATAATTTAGATTTATTGTACCTGGGCACCACAAGTAATTTAGTGTATATAATATGATTACATGATTTTTTTTAAGAATGAGTGATAAGTAGATTGCATATCTAACGTTGGAAAAAAAACGTATCCAACAATAGTATGTGATATAATATATAGAAATGATAACAACAGTTGAATATTTAAGGAAAAATAGCAAAGTACAACTGCTTGTTGAGATATTTGTCAAGTCACATAATTTCCCTTATAGGGTTGGGGAAATTGTTGAGTTTCGTTAAAATCATTAATCGATCTAGGTGAGACCATCATTAGAAATCTGGAATCACTGGATGGCTATGTCATCCTAATATGGGAATCATCCTATCTTATATTTTTAGTGACTAGTATCAGTCACTAATAGTAGTTGTATCATCACCAATTTTAACAAGTAAAATTTAAGCATTAAAAATTTATTTTGTTACAATCATAGATAATAAATTTTGCTTTAAATGGTGTTTGATAATTCTAATGTACAACATTGTTATTGAGAGCTTCTACTAAAAATTCTTGTTTTATCGACGTCATTATTCTTAATCTAATATGTGGATTATTGACACTAAGGTTGGTAAATGAATTAATGAAATTTTGTTCTATATAGAAAATATAATGCGTTTTAAATAACTGGAATGTTATCTGCATCAAAATACCATATAGATTAGAGTTCAAATAGATTAAAAAAAATCACACTAATATATACATAATCATTGACAATTTAATGAGTAATATCATTCAGGTTATATGGCAGAAAGTTTTTTACGTTATATAATTGTAGAACTGTATTTTATCTTAAAAACAGTTATTATGACACTGGTAAATTTATTCTATTTTAAAGATCTTATGACTTTCCATTTTTGAATCTTATGATTTTATTCAATTTCAATGTGTTTTATTTTTATGCTCATTTTATTACTGTACCTTTGTGAATATCAGACAATCTCCATTGTAGGGACTTGTATTTTCTCATTATTGATGTTCATATTTTGCATTTAATCAGTCTTTGTAAACAAATTTTAGGCTCTGACATCAATAACGGTGAAACATACGGCTATAAAAATGAAACTTATATCGTTGCACTAAGCTTCGTGAACTTTGTAGGGTAACAGATAATGAATGCTTTAGCGATGGAAAGCAAGAGAAAAGTGTATAGTACCTAACAACTATTGTACCCTAGTTACTTAGACAGAATAAAACGGATTGTTTCATATTAATTTTACGCATAATTTTTTTCTTTTGTTAATGATAAAATATCTAATGTCATTTACTAGATCACTGAAAACGATACAACTATGGATCTAATGGTTCGTTATAGTTAACAGCTTCTCAATTACTCATATATATACGATCCCATATACAACAGACAAAACTGTTTGATTTTATTGAATCTAGATAAATCAGTGATCAATAGATTGGACCAAAAAAATTATCCTGAAGGCCGATATCACTTCTAGGTTAATTGAAACGATATTCATTCCATTATACTGTCCAGTAATATGACATAAATGTCTAATCACTGTCTGACTCAACGGGTGATGCTAACTGACATGAGAATGGATTGTTAGAAAGCTAGTACTGGTTAAACCAAAACGTTCTATCAATCCATAAAGTCACTAATTATTGGGTTTGAGATGTGGTCATAGATACACACCACCAGGTTGAAGTCCATACAGTAACCTCTATCAGTAGTTCAATATGTTGAGTAACTGGGCTCGAACTAGGTAATAGTCATATAGTGGCATTCACACTTTATCATATTCTAGATCTTTAGTTCTGATATTGCTTTGCATATAATTTTTCCTTCTGATTCTTTGATCCATACTCTTTGTAAGATCTATTTTTGAAGGCTTTGTTACGAAAATCCCTCCGTGTATACATTTGTAATTTTTCCTTATTGATTCCTTCAGTTCCACATTTTGTTAGTCTGTTCGATCCCATATGAGATGACGATATTTGTATTTTATTATAGCTTTTATCTATTTTGCCTTCACTGAGTTTCGATGTTTCGTTCTGAACTGCATTATGTTGTTTAAGCTGATACTTAATGATGGCGACAGCCATACTGATTTGTTCCTCTTTTGATTGGATTGCTTGGTTTGACTGGAATTGTGCATCTTGGTTGTGAATCGAAGCACCCTTCCAGAATAGGAAAGACTCTGTGTTATGAAACAACCAAATATTATCTGTCGAAAGAATCTAATATATCCAGAAGGGATATAATAACATTTATTTGAATAATTGAACAATTGTTGGTGGAACAGCTGTGGTAATATTGTTTAGCTTATCATGTATATTTATACAAATAATAAATTGTAGGACCGTTATTTACCCAAATCACTTGTTTTGGATTTCAACTGGGGAAGACGCGTTTCTAAACTACATGGACAGTTATTCCTTAATTCAAACCTCAGTTTGGATCCTAAACCCTTAATGATAAGTAGTTTTTATAATGATTGATATTACATTATTTCGACTTTTTTACTATACATCTTGTTGTACTAATGTGATAATGACATTTTTGGCTAACAAATTTTTTCATATGCCCTAAATTGGTTCCAACCTACTCGATAATATTAATAGTGGTAGTAATATTGATCATAATAGTGATGATACGAACACGTTACATAGTAATACATTTGAAAAAACTCACCACTATAGTAATAGCTGTCTGTTTTCCTTGTATTGTTTTACTATTTACTTAATGAACCAATCACTTTGTGTAGAATTTCTGTTGCTTTTTGCAATTCATCTTCTTTAATAACTAAAGGTGGTGCTAATCGAATTATTGTGTCATGTGTTGGCTTAGCCAATAAACCATGATCACGCAATTTTAAACAAACGTCCCATGCATTAAATCCTGATTACAGAAAAAAAAATCAAAACAAAAAAATATTCAATTTGAAATAAACAGTTGAATTATTCTGCTTGAAGAATACTGTCATATATTAATAAATATAATTTGGATTGATTCCAAAAATAGAATGCAAGTAAACATTATAGCTTCGACAACCGACAGTCAGGTTTCCTCAGTAAACCAATTAGCAAAGAGGTTTGGAAGTCAGATGGGCATTGTGATTCGGTATGGTAGCGATATCCTCCATACATAATTATAAAGAACATGAAGATTTTAACTTCCCATAAAGATACTCCAAATATAATAAATGACTAAAACTGAAAATGTAAGCCCACAAAAGCAGTAAACCTTGACTAAGTGATTATGTAAACCTTACTCCGGTTTCCAGGAGACACAGCACGAAAGGTTTTAGTTGCTGTTGACTTTTTCAGCTAATTCGAGAGATAAATATTCGACAATAGTTTTACTGTTTAGTTTCAAAAAGACTGATCCAAACAAATTGAAATTAAGCAATGAATAGGAGTACAATACTGTTGGAAGTGGTAAGGCAAATTCAGGTAAAACAATTTCAGAAAGTATTTCATTTTCCAAAGGTGCTTCATTTAGTTTTAGTTTCTAATGAAAAAAGTTCTTCAAATTGGATAAATCCTCACCACTGGTCTCGACTGTCAACATTTTTAACTTCTCACATGTAGGAAAGACAATCTTAATTAGCCACTTTTGTTTAGTGTTTCTGCATCTGATAGATAACGCAGTGTTTTCAAAGAAAACGTGATCAAAAGAAATAAGTTTCACCAATTTAATTAACAGCTATCACTATCGTGTACGAAGAATTACAATAATAAAAGACTTCAAAGGAGTGTTCATACAATATAAATTCACTTACTCTAAAACTAAAAGCTAACTACTCGCATACTAGGACAGAAAGTAAATGGTCATTTTTATTCACTTCTAACTTACATCAAACATCCCTGCAACATATTTTATGTCACAAAAGAAAATTCACTCTGACTTTATCGCATTCCTCAGTTCAAAAGCTGACCAACTGTATTTGAATAACATACGCATCATTTTTTATTATTCGTAGTGTGTTCAAACCGTATGAGTGAGAGATATACTTCAAGGTTCAATAATTTCTGTATATCTATATCAGTATCTGTTATGATTAAATGATAAGACTAATGAACTCTCATAGAATTTCATCTTTCCTCACATGTAATTCATTCATCATTTAACCATAATAATCACTATTCTATATTCTGGTGATTTTAGATATATATATGTAAATATTCACATGTACTTTTATTATGTGTATTCATTCTTACTATGTTAATATTCTTAAATGCCATTTATTTTTTCACAACATTGAATAACGATTCATTTATTTTTGTTATTTATACAACAACATGACACTTCCTTTACCTCGATATATATATATTTATGTACATGTATCATTTGTTCCTAACAAATTCCTATGAATAAATATAAATAACATTAGGATTTTATTTATTTACATTATAATTTTACTAGTCAAGATAATTTCAATGATCGAAACATAAATATGCTGAATGATTATTTACCTTGACGAATTACAATAGCATTTAAAAGACCTTTACCACGATATAATTCAACTACAGATTTTGGCAGTTTACTCAATTCATTACGAAAGATTTCACCTAATTTTTGTGCACGTTCTGCTAAACATTCCTCTTCCAAAACCTGATTTTTGAGAAGAGTAAAATAAATGAAATATTATTGATGTGTAAAAAATGAATGCAAAGATACTTCTAAACACTCTTCTGTGAGAAGTATAACTAAAAGGTGAAGAAAAGTAAAAATCCTAGAAAACAAATAAACTTTCATTATGTTTCTTGGAATAAATATTTCATTTCACGATGGAAATTTATCAAATACCTTTTATAAAGTCATTTAAGTTAACAATAAACGTGTATTCACCAGTATTTTGAATATAGATTGACTTATTCACGTTCTACTGGGAAGACGTAATCAACTAAGGAAGAAGTAAACAGTTGTAAACTGTTGAAAAGATGACTGCCTTTACTTTAAAACCAGCAATGAGTAATTCACCAAACAAACAATATTCGCTCGATGAAATCTGGTGGTTTGTTCCGACTGTGTGTAGCATCAATGTTGAAAATCATTAAGGACAACGAAATTAAAAAGAAACTTCGGTCTTTTGTATTTTCAGTTCCTAACAGTTTACCATCTGATGCCAGTTTATAACTGAAACTATGTACGAAAATACAATAAGTAAAACGACATCACATAATACGTCAGTCACATAAACTCATCATACTGACAACAAAGTAATAACTAAGCTGAAAAGTTCGTTTAGTCAGTAGGTTAACATGAAAATACTTTTTAACGAAGCTGTTTAATTTATTTGCATAAAATGATTTACCGTAATCTACGGAATTTTCAAAGCAAACTTTAAACAATTAACATTTAAAGTAAAGTACAACATCATTCTGTTAAAACCTATCAGTCGACAGTTTACTTGGGGCTGAATTCACTAAACTTTCAAATTGTTTCAGCTATCTGAGTCTGGTAGGTGAAATGTGAAAACAGTTACCAAACATTCGATGAATGTTGGGATTAGAAGTTATTAACTATGCTTATCAGCTGAGTGTACAACTCTCTAACCTCTGACAAACACAGTTGACTATCATTATTCAGTGAATAAGTGGACAAAGTCCAGCGGTCTTAAAGCTTAAGGTAGTGAGTTTTAACCTCACTTTTTTCTGGATTAAGCTGGTGATTATTATACAAAATTGTGATCACCTGTTAAGTACAAACAATATCAAAACTTTCGGTCAAACTTTCGTTCCGAATTCGTTTCACAGTATTAACAATTCTAAAATAAATGTTTACGAATAATACTGATAATAATGAGAAAATACTTACTTTTAAAGCAGCTGTGGCAACTTTACAAGCAAGTGCATTACCACCATAAGTCGATCCATGTTCACCGGGTTGAATAGCCAACATAACTGGATCGTCAGCTAGAACTGCTGATACCTGAATTAAAATAAATGAATAGGTACATAAAAAGAAATACAAATGAAAATAACTGGGTTAATAGGAGATATCATCATAGAAAATTACTGAGACTAAATTTCTCAATGATGAGATACTTTTATACATTATTCAGTCTTGTAACAGTACATCTTGATAAAGACGTTAAAGATCGATTCTATGCGGGGTTGTACTCAGTCGTTGAGAAATGTCCATCAAAGGATTTGACCATTCTGATGTGAGACCTGAATTTCAAGGTCGGAACAGACAACAATAAATATAAAAGCATCATGGGCTGATATGGACTGGGAAAAAACGGTAAGAGATTCACAAATCAATTTGCTTTCAACAAAATGGTTATGAGGGACACCATATTCCTACATAAACGCTTACACAAAGCTACATGAATTATACCGGATCACACTACACGAAACCGAATGACCACATCATCAATAAAATGTTTAGAAGGACTGCAGAGGATGTAAGAACCAAGAGAGGGGCTCCCATAACTTCAGACCATCACTTGATGATGTCGAAAACGAAACACACTAAAGAAACACAACAGGATGAACCACATCACAAAATTTTAATACAGTCTTTCTTCGCAAATGATTTAACCCTTCTGTAACACACACAACGACAAATGCAGGAGAATACAACCAGTTTAGGAGTATCCTCTGCAACAGTAGGCTTCAACATGCACAAGGGAAAACGCAATATGCTCTGACATAACATAAAATGCACCAACCACATCACGCTTGACGGAAAAGCTCTGGAAGACGTAGAAACCTTTACATATCTTGGTAGCCTCATCGATTAGCAAGATGTATCTGATGCAGGTGTGAAGGCGGGGATCGGCAAAGAAAGTGATGCATTTCTACACCTGAACAACACATGGAACTCAAAACTCTATCAACAAACACCAGAGTCAGAATTTTCAATGAAAATGTAAAGACAGTTGTACTGTATGAAGCGGAAACTTAGAGAACTACGAAAGCCATCATCCAGGAGGTACAAGTATTTATTTATAGTTGTCTACACAAGATACTAGGGATCCGTAAACCGGACAATAACAGCAACAACCTAATGTGGGAGAGAATAAACCATATTCTAGCGGAGGAGGAAATCAGGATGAAGCACTGGAAGCGGATAGTGCACACATTAAGGAAGGCACCTAACTGAGTCACAAGACAAGCCTTTACCTAGAATATCCAGGATCAAAGGAAAAGTGGAAGAATTAAGAACACATTACTTCTAGAATAGAAATTCGATACAAACAGAATGAGCAGCTGTTGAACAGAACTGGAAAGAACGGCCCATTACGGAGTTAGTTGGAGATTACTGGTCGGCGGCCTATGTTCAATAAGGGCTAACAGGCGTAATTGATTAGGTAAGAATAAAACATTATCAACCAGTTTATGAATTCCAATAATTTTGGAAAAAACCGTTTTAATAAATGTTCAATTTGAACAGTGTTTTATCATCTTAGTATAAATAGACAAAACTGAATAAGATTATTATCAGTCAATATGTTAACAATTAGTATGTTTACAAAAATGTCAAGTTTAATTTAAATATCAAATGAATTTTTGTTTTGAAGCATGAAAACAAAAAAACCCAAAAACAATCAATCTAGTTTGAATTTATATAAAACATTATTTATATTATTTATATTTGAATTGATCAAAGTGTACTTTAATACGTTGTTAATTATTTAACAAGGCTAAAGGCGATGTTTAAAATACACTCGATGAACTTTATCTGTTATAAAAAAAACACTGGTCAATATTATTCAGAGAGGTATGTTTTTACAATAAAAGTAAGAATGTTGACAACATATTCGTTAATACACTCAGACAGATCGTTTGATAGTGTCAGACAGTCAGTCAATTACAACATAGAACTTCGTACGTAAGTACATCAGTTCAGGTTGCCATACCGCATTAGCACAGAGACGCAACTGTCAGTTCAAGTCCAATGAAGGTAGCCATAATAAAAGTATTAGCATTGATGGAGAAGATTAGGATTCGAAGGTATGATTCGAGAAGTATAGTTCAATGAGATAAATTTAGAGAGAAAGATAGAGATGATGAGAAATTCAGAAGGTTAGAATTTGAGAGAATACAAAGAGTGAATGCACTTGGGCTATTGCAAACGATTTTGAGCCATAACATTCAAGGTCTCTAACCGTCGATTACTCTCATCTCGCGGCCCCCAACCAGGTAGCTTACAGTTACCAACATGACTAAGTTCACTTGTCAGTGATTTCATGGATTTCAACCATATTTTGGTTTGGCCTACCCTAGCTTTCTTTCAACCTACTCCTACACTCCTACAAGCACCACAACATGCTAACGAATTTATGTTCAATTTATGTTTAATGATCCAGAGGTTAAGTATTAACATGTTAGATAGAAGGTTTTGTGATCGATTTTTCATGGAGTCATGGATGTGCACTGTCGAGAAGTCACACGCAAGAAAGGAATAGCTATTCAATGAATATCAAACCAGGGTTGGTTCGCGATATTTTGATAACACCTAATAAACTTCACAAATCTTTACACTTACTAAGTTAGACTGGAAAATTAACTGAAGTAATAGTTTATCATGTGTTTTTAATACTTAAAATGTTAAAAATGAACAAATTTTTTCCTTCTATGCTATTAGAAACCGAAATTCACAATCTAGTTTAATTGGGTATGTTGATGCTTAGAAGTGAGTTGATTAGTTTCTGAAGGTAAAATCAAATAATGAGTCCCACGAACAGCAAATAAAGTGAGTTTAGGATTCAAACGCTAAACTATAGCTGAGATATAAAAAATTAACTTGGATATCAACTGAAAATTTATCGTCGATCCAAGTTTTATGTAGAACAGTTAGCACAGTGTAATTCAGATCACAAATCGGAGTTGTACAAAATAGACATTTTTAAAAATCTAACAGTTAGCTATCAACGAACAAATAAAATTCCTCGTTAATTTCTGATAGACACATTTAATTTTCTATCAAACAGGCATGCTAGAAACTTGGTAATATTTTGATATAGTATGTATTTTGCACTAAAATGACCTAATTTTCGGTCAGAAACTTAATTTGAATGCAATGATTTTAAACTAAATTCGGTATTTACTTAAGACTATAGGCAACCGAAAATCTATGTATATATAGGATCATAAGGAGATTAATGATTAAACTGACAGTTTTAAAACAATTTCAGCATACGTAGAACATAAAAAACGAGGTATTTAGAACTTGATAATTTTAATCGATTAATGAAAAATCATCAACTTAAACGAAATAATGTTCAGCAGAGTCTTGCATTGATTTCCTCAACAAATTATTATTCAATGGGAGTATCATTCTGATATTGATTCAAAGAAAACTAGCCTCTCCCGCGTAGAGAAATTAATCAGCACGTCTTTTAATTTCTCTTTAAAGATTTATATACAAATTTAATAGCTGGCTTTTAGTTGTAAGAAAGGATTATACGACTAAGATGTTACTTTTTTGTTGATAATTATCGGAAAAAATAGATATATATTATTTACACAGAATAAGTTATACGGTACAATTTTTCAAACCGTAAAGTAGAATCGAACATAATATAAAGTAGAGAAACACTCATTACATCGATTGACAGACAATTATGGCAATATAATATGAAGTCATTTTTCACTGGTCGCTTATTTTAGTCTCTCGAATTTTTGTTAAGCATGATCAGCTAATCAAACTCAAAGTGGGACCTGGAATACATGTATATCGATTTAAATTGTTATACTATATCAACGCAGTGGCATAAAATTATCACGACAAATATAACAGTCATACAAGTGCTAAAAGTATCAATGGTCGAAGAAAATATTTAGCATGGATAATATGATTCCGGAAGATAGGATGAATTTCTATAATAAAACTGAAGTATTAAAAAATAGCTTGAAGAGAAGTAAAAGAACAAGTGCTTCTTCTTCATTGATCTATATGCCCTGAACGTCCACGACCATTGATTATAACAATCACACTCTCCACCTATCTACACACCTGAAATCAAATGTCACTGACTTAGTGGACTGATTTAACGTTTTGAATTGACCCCCCCCCCCAGATGTTCGAATAAATACTAGTCAACATATCAAGAACCTGACAGATAGTGTGAACATATATTAACGATAACTCTAATAACTTACCGGAAGTACTCCTCCCGACAAAGCTTTACCGAGTAAAACAATATCTGGTCGAACATCTTCATGATCTACACACAACCGTCTGAATAATAGAAAAATAACAAAGAACGTTTTGATTGTTTTGACATTTCTTAGTTTATCTCCAAGTATTGAACTCATTTATTCAGTGCGGATCCGCGTAATCAACTTTAGTCACTTCGTTTATAAGAACATTAGGAATACTGCCAAGCTGCCTAAACTGAAATAAATCTGGATAGGTTCAAACTTGTGACTTACCAGCTGATAATATAATGAGAGAAAAAGCTAAGCTACCACTCTACTCATATATATATATATATATATATATATATATATATATCTTTACGGAAAACAGAAAACGTCACTTGGAAATCAGTTCATCTAATTAAAACGTGAGTGTGATTTAAAATTAGTATCTTTTTCCTAATATTCATGTTTCTTGGATTATATTTAAATAGTTACATAAAATCAAAATTACATATCAATGTTAATTTATTCGACTTACAAAATTAATTAAACCGTGAGTCAAGAGTTATTCTATGACTAACTACTGAATAGCACTTACAATTGATTAAGACAATATTGGGGTAAATTAATCAGTATGAACCAAAATATATCATAATAAGGACTTACTTTCCTGTTCTACATAAACCAGTTTGTATTTCATCAGCTATAAACAGTACGTTATATTTAGTACACAATTTCCGTACACCTTTTAAGTAACCATCTGAAGGTGTACGAACACCAGCTTCACCTTGAATTGGTTCCACCATAAATGCACAAGTATTAGGATTTTTTAATTCAACCTGGAAAAATAAATCAATCAAGTGACCATTAAACATCAAGTAAAACTTTATGAAAAAGATTTATGCTCCTGGTATAAATGTAGCCATAAGTCTTAAAAGACTGAAGTTAAATATTTCATTTTGCTAAATAAATTTTTTATACTGTTTAGCTAGATACTTTCTAAAGTGGAAAAGCTTTATACTTTGCTAAAAAATTTGAGATGCGTTTCACTTAGTGTTGTGTAAATATACAACATCATTAAACTAAGTAAGTTTGGAACTCTGAAGAATTCAATTGTGTCAATAAGTCACATTAATATTAAAGGTTTACAGTTATTTAGAGCATAATTTGTAGAACATAAAAAGTGATACACTAATAAGTATCTCTCCAATTTTCTGTAATGATCAAAAAATAATTGCGCGATAATCTTTCATTGAATATTAACAAGGACTTTATCATGTCCATATAAGTGCATTTACAGTCTATGTTTAGAAGATAATTCAATGAATTTTTTAATAAAACAGTAGATGTTGACTGAATGAAGTTTTTACGTGGTGAGATATAGTCACTTCTTTTTCAGAAACCAAATTTTTACATTGAATATGTATGATCTAGTTAACGAGTTGATAGGGTTATTTATAAATGGGCAAAATGTCATTTACTGTTAACATGACAAATAAATGTTTAATATACTCATCTGGCCCATGTTTATCTCATTGAACAGTGAATTTCTTTCAGAAGAAATAACCCTGAAAGAAACATAAACTATTTTAAAATGTACTATCTAAGTCATAATATACCTGTGGTCTGCTGACTGAGCAGTCACCGCAATAAATGAAGGCTCGAGGTTTGATACCTGGAGTAGTCATTAGTGTCTGTCTCTAGGAAGTTTCATAGTATCATCAAGTAACTAGCTAGCTGTCCCTAGATTTCAGTATGATATCACTAACAAAGAAAAGCTGTGATTCATTCTCCCGAAATGCTTTTAAAATATTACTGAATTTTTTATTTATACGAAAGTACGAAAGTTTAAAGTCCGACAGTAACATTGTTGTATATATTTATTCCGTGATTTAAAACCTAGCAACCAGATATTACTAAGTGGTTGAAAGTCTCGGTTGCTCAAATTAACTCTAATATTTTATCTATTCGAAACTAAAATACATGTCCATTACATTCAACAATTTAGTGACATCCAATTCAATCATGATTCAAACTTAACACCTTACAAATCAGGGCTATGTCAAACTTTTGTAGGTTTATTTTTGTTTTTTCTAAATAGATGACCCTTTGGATTACAGATCACGCTAGACATGATTGTATATTCGTGATCCAAAAGCAGTCTGGAAGTTATAGACTAAAGTATGTATTTTGGTTTCGTATAGAAAGGAGTTTTATACAGTGTCAAAAAGATTAAGACCAAAAATAGTGTCGTCATCGATTAAGTTACTTTAAGACATTTCTAGATTTTGTGGTACTACAACACAGATCCAAGGTTTAGTTCTTATTATTAACCGTTCTTGTCCTCAAACTAAAAAAGATTTTCGTAAATCACATGAACAAATCTCTTGTTTGAGTTTGTTCTGTTAACACGCATGAATAGGTGAATTTATAAACTCCCAAATTAATTCGTAATTGAGCTATGATGGCTCAAAAACAACAGAGTAAGAGGTTTACAAAAGAAATAAAACGCTGAACATAAGCAGAAAAATAATATGAGCAGACGAGTTACAAAAAGAAATGTCAAATACTTTAGATTTGAGAAAGCGCGTCCGGTAGATAAATTTTATCAAAAGTTTCAAATGTATATATAGTTGGATAATTTTTCAAATATTTCTAATTCTAAGCAGAGAAAAAAAACTCACGTTTTGAAATGCATTCTGATAATATTCCAGCCGTGTCTTGTGACGTTCGTCAAACATTTATTTTATCTTACATTTGTTCAAACAGTATATTCTTTGATTGCACAAATTTGACTAACTGTCAAGCACTCAAATCGATACGTACTTACTTACGCCTGTTACCCCCAATGGAGTACAGGCCGCCCACTAGTCAAATCGATACTGAATATCTGAAATGTTTGTCAAGCTTTTATCACCATCTTAGACAACTTTAAAATGTAAGTACGTTCTCACACTAATTACACGTGAATATGTTTTAGTAAATTCATAAGTGTTACAAATAATTTAAAGCCAATTTTTTGATCGGTTCAACATTACCAAGAACACAACATAAAGACTGCGGGCTGTCAGATTTTATCATGTTCTCACAAAAATCATCTGTGGAAAATCTCAGTCTGGAAGGAAGCATCAGTCAAGTGTTACACAGTTTCCAGTTGATATCCGACTAAAAATTATTTTAAGCTTCAAAAAAGTAAATAAATTCGGTGAATTATGAGTAATAATCATGAACTACGTTATCAGCTATCTCGTTTATCATATTGAAATCGAATACCGAAACAAGAAAAACTGATCAGTCACCGAGCAGGAATGGAAATATTGTTGAATCAATAGATAATATGCGTATGTAAAAATGCAGTAAAAATGCTTGTTTTTCGTACCAAGCAATCAAAGCCTGCTGTATTTATTCCGAAGTGAAATAAAGTGACAAAGATTTAAGGTTGTGGTTTTGATTGGATCGTCAATTTAATTAGCAAACAAACTAACCTCAAGAGCATCCAGGTCATCATAAGGAACAATTACAAATCCTGGCATATATGGTCCGAATCCTGAATAGCAGGTGGGATCAGTAGATGAAGAGCATGCAGCTAAAGTGCGACCCCAAAAGTTTCCCTCAGCAAATATTACTCTAGCTTGTCCATTCGGAATATTCTTTACTTTATAACCCCATTTACGGGCAAGTTTTATTGAAGTTTCACCAGCTTCAACACCTATATAAATGTAAAATACTTCATCCATGTATATACGCAGATTTCACTAATTGAATAATAAATCTGCCCAGTCATGTAACTTCACTGCCAATATGAATGTGAACTAGTTACTCTCCAAATTTTATGTTTACTGGTTTTATCAACAACCTTTACTTCTTCTCATTCAGAAGTTATATCATTTTTGGAAAAAATTTATCCCGGTAAAAATGCAAATTAACTAAGGTAAGACATTTGAACCCGTTAAAAGCTATTTTTATTGCTACTGAACTAACTCGTGTTAACAACCATTGATCATTTATTATATTGTAGTAGCTACATGAGTATTCTACTCTTGATATCACTAAAAAAATGTTTTGATATCAGATTTCAACCTTTAGTTTTAAATCTTTTTCACAAACTAAGGATTTCACTTCTATTAATGACCTGAATAACGTTATAGAATAAATTATAGTCTCTTCAAGTGAATTAATATTTTCATTTTAGTAATGCATATAGTTTTAGTTATTGTATTACGCATTACGGTGATAATATAAACAATAAATGATTTTATTTCACCAAAACCCGGTAAGTTTCTAAATATTAATGACCATAACTAGTGCTATTATGTGAGTATGACGCTACAAAATCTTGTTCGTCGTAAAGCTGTGAGGAAATAAAATTACAAAACCATAGTGAATTCATACAGAAATACCTATCATATAGGGTTTAAAAACCATTAATAACCTTATTTATAACAACAGCAATTTTATTGGTGATACTGTACCTGATAAAAGTGATCTATTTTTACTTATCACTGAAAATTTTCAGAACACAAACGTAATAATTCGATGAGTTATGTTCATGCTTTTACTCTTTTCGAATTGAAAGTCTCCGAATTTTCGTCTACATTTCAGTAGCAATTTATATTTAGTAGTAATTTATAATCTTGAAAAGAAGTTTAAAATTAATGTTAGATGTTTGTTTACAAATGCATATACAATATATCAGTTTCGCCCTCATAACTTTATTCTTACATCATTTAAATGCAGAGGAAATATCTAGCCAGTTACAGATGATGAATAATCAAGCACAAATGTACTTGTCTTCAAGACATCGTTTTATGTAAGTGCAATCAAATGCAACGATTAGGATGACTAACAGACTCACAAACATGCATACCTGAATTCATGGCTAAGACCTTATCGTAACCAAACATTTTTGCGACAAACTCCTCAAATTCTCCCAAATAAACGTTGTAAAATGCACGTGATGTAAGGGTAAGTATTTCTGATTGTGTTTTGAGTGCATCAATTATACGTGGATGACAGTGCCCTTGGTTAACAGCACTATATGCACTCAAAAAATCCATATAACAGTTTCCCTCGACGTCCCAAACATAAATTCCTAAAGCTTCAGTGCAAAATTTTCGAAATACCTTTGCCTTTGCTCAAAGCTACCGGTAAAGGGTGATAATTATGCGCTCCATATTTTTCCTCGCGGGAATAGACAATATCAGACAACTTGGTTTGTTTACGTATATTATCTGTCCATCCTGAGATGCTCCTATTATTCAGTTTCTACAATTAAAAAAATATTGTAAAGCACAAATTACCTAGTCAGTGATTTTCGAACTTGAAAACGTAAAGCGAACATTAGGAACAACTTGTGCGGTGATTTATAGCTGTGCTCTTATATACACTTTATAAGATAAAACAAACTAAAAAGCTGATGAAGCAAATAAATGGCTTTTCAGTTTAAAGAAGTGAAAGTTATACGGATGGTTTTCATATAAAGGGATAGTTTTATGTAATTATTATTTTTGAGTCTGAAATGAATCAAAATAAATATCCTGTTCTTTATGTTTTCTCTGATCATTCAATCGCTAATGTTCAATGGTCCATACAGCCAAATCTAGGTCAAAAATCAGCCTGATTTTCTCTATTATGCTCTTCAAGAGCTCTAGTTACACGTCTCAACATTATAAAGGCTAATAATTTAGACACTACGTTAGTCAAACTTACGTCTCTGTGATTGTCACAAGAGGACTTTTGTCCTTCCTTATATATTGGGACAGTCAGTGACTAAGACCGATTGGATGGGATTTTGCCCGATATCCGAATTCCACCCAAGATTTCAGTCAATCTAACTGCTGAAACTGGACCGCCATCCTTAAAAATCTCAGAGGTCAATCTATCAGGACCTGCTCCTTTCACTCTTAGTACATTTCCTATGGCTTCCTCAGCTTCACGGAGTCTGAGGACTTGTATCGATTCGTGGTTCAGGATGACTGGAGATTTTGAGTGCTGGAAGTGTGTCTAAAGGTCAGTTGAACTGATCCCTTAAGTGTTCTGCCCATCTATCCAATCTCCTGGACTGGGAATGAATGTTATGACCATCCTTTCCTGACTTAATTTCGCTGTCAAAGGGATTTCTAATACCGGTTTCGTTGATAAAATTAAACAGTTGTCTATTGTTAACTATCACCGCTGCCTTTTTCATCTTTCTCGCTTTTTCTATTCACCAATGTTCGCAATCATTACGTTGGCTGTTAATCAGCCTGCGCTTAAGCTAAATTCGCTCCTAATCGTAATCAGCGTCAGACGGGTCGAGTTCAGGAGTATCTATCAGCTCAGCACATGCTTCTTAAATCCACTGTTTCCCTCTAACATTATGTTTTACCTTACTAGCATATATGACCGTTGTTTCTACAGCTTTATAAATATCATTGCACTCTGGGAATCACTCAAATAGCCGCCTAACCTTTTTTCTCGTTGCTCCCGTTATACGTTACTATCTGTGCAATCACTGGGTAGAATCCTAAGAGGTTTCCTTATAGTGTCTTTCCTACGTTCCACAAACAATTACGCGCTAGCACTATGGCATGATGTGCTTCGAAACATGTGCCCCAGAACAAATGACAGTCCTCTATCGAGCCTCTTCATCAGTAACTGATAGCGATATTATCTAGTTGGGTTCAGCATCGAGACAACTTTGAGGGCCGCCAGATCAAGGCATGAATTTCCTCATACCATAAGTTAGTGTTTGCCAGAAGTAAGCGATTATGTGAACAAAGCTGTGGGAGATGGTCACCATTTTCTGTACCATCAGCCATGAAAACATAAGATCCACACAGGTGCCTTTCCTTTTCACTCAGTCTAGCTACTTGAGCATTGAAGTCAATAGCCATTGTTACTTTATCGGAGCGCTTAACGTTTTAAAGTAGGTGAGAGTTGTTTCTCTAAAACTCATCTTTTGTCTCCTCTAAACTGCAGTCAGTGAGAGCGTAGGCAGAGACTCGAAAGAGGCAACTGCGAGTTCCCTTATCTTTACGAGTCCGTATCATCCCGTTCATTAAGACAGCGCATTAGTGACTGTTTAACGAAATACAGCCTAAGAAAACTAGTTCTAGTTCGATATCTGGACAAGGTGAAGTCAGTCTGATCAATGTACTGGGGTCCTGTATGCACGTTTAGGAAATGCAGCATATACCAATGATATGTGATGCTGAATTCCTAGCTAAGACAACTTGTTGTCTTGTTTGACACAGTGTCGAGACGATAAAAGCTACTATAGGTTGTTTAGATCGAAGTTTGAGGAGACCGAAAACAAGGTTTCGTGAAGCCGAGTTGTTTTCATCAGCGGAGCAGGATGATAAACGAATATGAGAAAAGTGAGTCGTAGTGAAAAAGATGTCAGGAAGTGTAGAAAGGATCTGATTGTGATCAGTTTGTTCTCATGTGCTGTTACGGATATGAGGGCGGATGTCACTTCTCGGCTGCCAAAGAGTGAAAGGGCTCTGGTTGTCAGAAAGCGTATCATCCTTTTAATTTCCGAAGGAAATCATCCTTCATGAGACGTTATAACTCTTCTTAATGGAAACCTTCAGCTACCAGAGCAGAACTTATTTGTTTGAACTATTTTTTCCGGTGATCATTTTATTGGCGAGTTAACTGGTAACCAAGTGCAGTGATAGAGACTGCTTTTCATCACCAAGACAAATAACCTGTAGTTTTATACATGGGAATATATCAGACCCACTCCTGTTGTTTATCTAAATCAACAATTTATGTAAAACCGCAAAGTTTGAAAGACTATATCTAAATACGTATAATCTCAAATTAGTTTACGGCTTTTGGACTGAAAATTAGAACGAAACTGCACCCTAGATTCAAAGCGTCTAGAACAACCTATCTACCTGGATCGGAACAAAGGAATTACAATTTAATCACTGCGTCTTAAAAAATCACCATGAAATACCACTCTGCTTACAAAAATGTAAGTTTCGGACAGCATATCATAGCAAGATCTGGATACTCATTACTCAGGTAGCCTAAATTCATAGATAATATACGAGTAGCAAATGTCCAAACAAGCTTCACACTGTGACTGCTAGGATGGAACCATAATCTCGACTACACAGAAAGATGCAAACACCTTTCCTTAGAACCTCGTTGGTGGTGTCGATTGAAAAACAACCCAATACTTCTCTATAAAATAATACAGAGCCTCTCATTTGTAATATCCCGCCAAATTATGGACCACGACACTGCTTAGAGGCTTGGAAACAAAGCAAATACACTCCAAACGCAAAAATGAAAAAAGTAGGTGGGTTGTAATTTTTTAGCAACACGGCACAGCCTACTGTTGAGCAGATTTGTAATTTCTATCTGGTTCAGGAAACTAGTTACATAGTTGTTGGACTCTAAAGTGATTTACCAACTAATTTCAAAACTCACCAAATCGCAAAGCACATTTCTAGATCACCTAATATGTGGACCAATCTTGGAGACTATCAGCAGAACAAGAATATACTGTACTCGAATTGCCATTGATGCCGGTACCACCTATTTGCAGTAGTAGGTCATGGCTTTATGCTCATACCCCTATCATTTGGATTTTCCCTAATATTTAAAGTCGCATTATTATCTTCTTATCTTTCACAGCTCTGTTAGTTTTTATTTCAAGCAGATAGATAAATTGAAAAGCCTGTAGATGCTACTCAGCTATTGTCGACCACAACAAACTCATTCCATCATATATCATTGTAAGTTCCGTCTAGTCCATGCACTGGCAGTCTAATAATCTTTTATATCCCTAATTTATTAGCATTTAAACATCTTGCTTTCTTACTAACTTGTTGCCTTACTCATGAATTTTAAAAGTTTTCTAATTAGTATTGTTTCATCAGCTGCCTGGCTTTCCCATCTACAGACTGACAATTAATTGACCTGGATTATATAACTAATATCAATGGCTGCATTAATATCTGTATGTTATGCTACATGCATTTTTAATTCAGTATACGCGATCCAGAATTGTCTTCTCTGCTTGTAACTTCGAGCCAGTTGATTATGTGTACAAGAAATAGAGATTAAGCTAGAGCAGTAATAAAAGAATACAACCAAACGTAAAGGAGACAAAAATCGCAAAAGTTGATAGGGTGGTGTATATGATCAGTAATCATGATAGTGGCGTGATAACCTTAACTCACCCATCTCTGTGGGGCAGAACATTTCGTTTGTTGATGGTTATGATGTGGCTGCATTTGACTAATCAGTGACACAGAAGTAATTTTTACTAGTCGACCACGTCTGAGACTCGAGTTTGTTACTTTGAACTAGTTTGACGTCCTTCTAAGAAGTCCTACAAGCTGATCTGGACTATTACGTTGAGAAGAAGCTCACTCTTGTCTTCCTGAAATAAAGAATTGATAAAACAATTAGCGAAATATCACTATAGCATTAGATCACTGGACATTTATTATTATATTCTGTAAATCATCGTTATTCCTAACAAGGTGATCCTTTATAATCTCCGCTATTCATAAAATTAGTTGCCGATGAAGAAAGATCAGCGTAATCATACCTTCGTTTCATCTAAAAGATTATCTGCTGAATCAAGACTCAGCTTTTAAAAAAAAACTTTCCGCTCGATTTACCGCCCCTTTATCTCTCTTTCTCTCATTCAGTACCTCATCTTATGTGTTAAGCAAATGCATCGATATTCCTGGAGACTTATCGTTTTATCCAGAAGCCTATTATGTTATTATCTGGTTAATGCCATCAGGAAGATCAGTTAACGCTTCTCTCACCAATCGTTTTTAAATAAAGCTCTGGATTTATCTCCCACTGATTCCCAAACAGGAGTAGTACGTCACAGTGCAAACGAACTAATTGGAGCCATCTATCGTATTGTACATTCCAGAGTCTAAAACATTAATTATATTTCTATGTGAAAAACAACAGCCCTCAATAAAAAACCATTTGATCATGTAAAACAATAATCTAACTGAACAACCTTTGGAAGCAAATATGATGGCACGTTTAACATTTTGGTCTTGTTTGCAAATTGGTATGCCTCATATAACACATCGTTATTTGAGAATAAACTATCATTATCAAGACGTCAGTGGTATGATCTTACGAAGAGAACGTAATTTCCTGAAATGGAAACACTTATTATTGCAAACAGTTGTAATTGTAACTTTTCTATTTTACCCGTTTGTTTAACTGTACTAAAGACCATAACTCGCGTGCCAAGCGTGTGTCTACCATCGCCTATTTATCCTCAGTGGTTGTTAGCTGCTGTTTTATTCCGGTCTTGATATCTTTTCAATATCACGAGACTATGAGCCAATACACATTGTCATCCATTCATAGTCCTTTTTCTTATTTCTGAAATAAAGGGATCTTACTTGGTAATCTAGAGACAAGGAGCTACAATCTCACTGGACAGTTATCAACGTCTCCTATAAACTTTACTCTGAACCTTCGGCTTTAATTCACAAACATACAGTTCTTACTTCAGCTCTTCGTTCATTTTTCAGGCTCTATGCAACTTCATCAACAACACAGCTCG